GCCCGGTTCAGTCTGCAACAGCAACCAGGCAGCACACGGTGCCAATGGCTGGGAGAATTCCCGTGGGAAAGCAGAGTGTCGTGGTTGCTCCCTGCTCTGCCCCTTGCCAGGCATGACAGCTCATGGCCCCACTCACGCCCACCAGCCAGGGCCCCTTGCTGCCCCTGGAACCTGCTCGAAATGGCCCTTGGGCCAAGCTGGGGGGCTCTGCAGTGCCTGTGGCCATGAGATCCTGCTGCGCCTGGCCGACTTCTGCCATGTCAGCATGTGCCAGCTCCTGTGGGGAACCAGCACCCCTCTCTGGTGGGTTAACCAAGTCCACACACCCAGCTTAAACCTGGAGGACCTCAGGTGGCCCTGGCCCTCTGGGAGCACTGGTGGCCAGGAAGGAGTGAGGGCCCTTCCCTGTCCAGGCAGGACAGCCAGCTGCTCCCTTCCTAGCCCTGCAGTCCCCTCGAGAGCTGCCAGCAACACCCCCTGGGGCCCTGGGACACCTGTGATAGCACAGCCAGGAGACAACTCACCTGCCAAAGAGTTGCAGCAGTTGCCCCCGGTCCCGGCAGATCTCCTGGCCCCAGGCATGAGCCTGAGCAGTGCAGGAGAGAAATGTCCGCCGGCACAGCTGCTCCTTGAAGACGGGCCAGAAAGTGGGCTTGGGACCCAGCACCTCGATGCCACGCACACGTGTGTCAATGCCACCCTACAGGAGAGCATGACCCTCAGTTCCTCAGGCACAGCCCTGACACCCCACACTGCCAGCTGGCTGGCCTGGCCCCTGCTCCCCTACCTGCTGGCACCGCTTCACCCGGATCTGGATGATGGGCCAGAAGCGGGTCATGTTCTCCAGCAGGATCACTCTGCTGTCTGAAGGCAGGATGGTAACCTGCAGGCAGTGAGCCCTCAGCGTGCCACACCCTCCCACGGCCAACCCCTCATTTTAGTCACAGCCTCTGTACTCGCCATGCATCTCCTCTGTATCCCAGCAGCCCCAGCACAGCCTCGGGGCTTCCCCCACCAGGGCCCCACTCCTGGCTCACAGCTACAGCACACCAGCCTGCTGCAGACTGGCTGCAAGACTGCCTGTGCCCACCTCCCCAGCACCCACTGGAGCCTACAGGCCAGAGGAGGCTCCTACACATCCCCACCTCCCAGTGAGCACCATGCAGGGCCTCACACCAGGGCCAGACCTCCACAGGGCACAGTAAGGACCAGCCTGCCGCTCCCATAGGGACTCACTGTGTTGAGCTCCGTTCTGATGGTGGCAGGGCTGTCCCCACCCAGCACCACGACGCGGGATGGCATATAGCTGGAGTCCTCACTGGCCACCAGCATGCTCATCTCCCTGCAGCACAGCAAACACAGGGTTGCCCAGCAGTTCCCACCCCCCTGCCCTGACCCCCGACAGTCCCAGGTATTGCTGTC